GGGGATTAAGTATTAATTTGATTTCTGTTATTTTAACACTAATTCGAACTTGTTTTGTTTTTTTGGTTTTTATTTTTTTTTATTTTTTATTTTAATTTTTTTTTAATTTTTTATATATTTTTTTAATTTTAAAAAAAAAAAAAAAAATTGAAATTGACAAAATTATAAAAGACCCTTCTAATGCAAAAACTGATGTGCATTTCCTACTATCCTCCTTGGCTCCGTCTCTCCTGCTCTCCTCATTGGCTCATCCGTCTTCTCCTGGCACCAGAACCAGCGCCACCAACAGGGGACAGCAACAGCTACTGCACCACCACCAGCAGCTCCAACGTTCGTGACAAGGTACTCAATGTCCGATTGTTGGTGGAGCATAGCAAAAACGATTGGCCAGTACGATTCGAGCTAAATTGACGAAGACCCAAATATGTATGTTGTCCGTCATAATGAGGAGGTAATAGTAGTGGTACACGACCGAAATTTGGGATGAACTATGCGTGGTTTGCTGCATTCGAACCGGTATGGAATTGAACCTGAATTAAATCGTTTCTTTTGAGGAAAAGAGGGTCACGTGCTGGTAAAATGGAAAATGTTTTGTCTGAAAAATATATCCTATCAAAAAACCAAAAAGTTGAAAAATAGGGGGAAGTTTTCCATCTTGTCTGGAATTTAAGGCCTATCAAACAGAGCCTTACAGAACTATTTCAAAAATCAAGTGATATATTTTTAAGATATTATAAAAAGAAATATTATTTAACAATTATTTCTCTCTCTCTCTCTCTCTCTCTCTCATTGTCATTCTAAAATCATGATTTTTATTTTCCAAAATAAGATGGGCACATGTTGTGACATCTGATAAAATTTTGTAAACCTATAATTTAATTAAATAGGTTACATTCACAATAATACATAGCTTGTGATCATGTTCACATACCAAATACAAATTACACAAGATCACAATCATAAATACACAATTGTCGGTCACAATCACATAATTTATAGTCGTAGTTACATAAGAGTCATAGATCTCAAAACGTCACAGTCACAAAAACATAAAATGTGAGCCAAAATTACGAATTTAGTCATAAATCACACATTACAACTTATTTTTCTATTACAAATTATTTTAACGTCACGAAATATCAAATTAGTCACAGCTTATTCATTGATCACAAATGTTCAAATTATATGTCATAATTACAAATTTAATCGTAAATCACACATTTTTTAGGTTACATATTATTTATTGACTATAAAATATTTATTTTATTTGTCACATTTACCCAATAATTAGTTGCAATTGCTCTTCATCTGACCCACTCCGTCATATCGACGCACCACCAAAAAAACCTTTGTGGAAAATAAAATTTTCAGTTGTATCACTTTTTGGGGTCATATATGACAACCATTAGTATGAAAAGCCATGTCGGTGTTTGACATTAAAAAGTGACGAAATAGAACATAGTGGTCTAAATTGAGATAAAATCAAAAGAATGACGATCTAATTGGCACAAAATTGAAGTATGGTAACTAATTGACACAAATTGGGGCATACCCAAAAGAAAATTGGGTCAAAAGTATAGTGATTGTGAATAAACTTAACCCAAATATTCAAATTATAAACAAATAAAATAAGAAAAATGTTTGTTGTAAATCATCATTTACAAATATAACTTGAATAAAAACTGTTAAAAAATTTTTACCACTTAAACGGTTGTGTTTATGTAATATGTAATGGGGGTTTATTAGCAAAAAAAATAAAAATAAAAATTGCGAGAATTTTTTTTTATTTATTTGATTGGTAAGATCTTGATTCAGTCAAACTCTCATCACATCATTTGTTTGTAAACAACTATGTAAGTTATAGCGTAAGCCCCTATTTGGTGCATATTATCAACTCAAGAATGCATTTTTTTTATGTGATGCGAAATATATGGTTGAAAAAAAAAGAAAAAATTATTAATGTGATAGAGAATATTATTTTATTGAAAAATACGTGATTGAAAATGAATGGAAGAATGAGAATAAAAAAAATAATGTGGCTCAAACAAGGGCTAAATGTTGCACAATTCAAATATAAACGCCAAGTGTGTTCTGGGGGCCATTACACGTGGATCAATTCAACCAATCAGGAACAAAAGGACACGTAAGAATCTTTGCACCATCCCACTCCTCGAAAGAAAATCCGAGAAACACTGAACTTCAGGATTTGACGTCTTTCCAACGGAACAATTCTAGAGTGAAAGAGAGAGAGAGAGAGAGAGAGAGAGAAAGACAGAGACAGAGAGTCATGGCGAAACTTGATCGAGCTTCCTTATTGTCAGCGTTGTGTGTTTCAGTGATAATATTATCATGGATGCCAATATCACAGTGTGCGAAGAAACCAGTGGGGGTGGCAAGGAAAGAGGACATACCATTCATAAATTGTCAAGTCTGTGAAAAGTTGGCGTCGCAGCTATATCACCAAGTCCAAGCTAAACGAGCTGAGATCTCGCCCAAAAAAGTAATTTTGTTTCCTGGGTTCATTCTTAAATTCTTCAATATGTTAATTCGAGAATGGGGCCACTTATATTTGTTAAAAGAAGTAATTTTAAATTATGGGTTTATTCTTAAATTCTTGAATTCGTTGATTCAAGAACTGGGCCAACGCAGCACCTGTAAAGAACCTGGCAAGAAAACCCCTGAACACAAGGCTTTTTCCTCTCATAGTATATGTTTTTGTGCCTTTGAGAAGTGGTACTGTTTCATCAAGTGTTGTAATGCTGTAGAGAATTTTATTTTTTCCTAATGTGTGATCAGTGGATGAATTTTATGTGTATTTATGTTTGTATTGTTGCAATTTATTGTGAAGCAGATCTCAGAATATCAAATTATTGAAATTGCGGAGAATGTTTGTAATTTAAAGAAGCAGGAAGCTGATTGGATCCTGAAAATTGATATTGTAGAGCAAGGTGATAGATTGGAGGTAAATATTACACATTTTTCTAGGCTTTTACATTAATTCTTGTGAAATCCAGTTTGAAAATGATGCAATGATAGGTTGTATTCCTGTGTTAAAGTTTCCCATAATCCCACGGAAGAGTAAATGATTGTTAACCTGAAAAGTTACTACTTTCATTATGGTATAACTTATGTATCGGGTGCTCACTTGAGTTTTCTTTCTTTGTAATTCTTCTATTCAGCTTGTTGAACAAGATTCTGAAGGACAATGCAGTTCAGAATGCAAAACAATAGAGCGGGCTTGTCAAGAGGTCAGGTTTTGTAAAATCTTTGTAATTTTGGCACCAACCAATAGCTGAATGTAACTTTCTGTAAAGCATTAATTTTCAATTGCTTCTGCTCCTGGTCGACCTATTGAGTTTACCTATAATGATCTTTTTGTTACAAGTCCCTCAGAAAGCTCGACTTTGGATTTGCTTCGGTTCTTTGTTGTTATATATATGGGTTCTTTCAGTTCTTCTGTTTAATTAAAAATGACTAAATAGCATTTCTACATTTTATTGGATTCTTCTGAGTTCTGACTTTTAGATATCTATCTTTTCTCCTTTTCATTATTCCTTATGTTTGGGACAGTTTTAGCATTGAAGTTATGAAATTCTGCAACTAAATGTCAACTCTGGAATTTTGCAGGTTTTGGGATATTCTGATACTGATGTTGCAGAATACCTTTACAAAAACAAGCCAGACCTTGATTCTTTGGTAAATTTTATCTGCAAGGACCTCACCAAAGCATGCAGTAAAAAGCCACCACCAGTTCCTAAGGTGACAGCTTTGACTGACAGTTACAAGTAAATTTTGAGATGTTGGATTTCACATTTCTCGTATCAGGTGGTATGTGTTTTCAATGTTGTGACCTAATTTTTATTCATTCCAAATTAGAGGGGTTGCAAGCGTTGAAGGCTAAAAGACTTCATACAATTAAACTTTTTCCCACTGAATCAGATGTACGAATATTTTTGAATTCGTACTTGATTTAGGGGTCAAATGTCTTGTAACTCAACAGATTCTGGTTGATGTCAAAGTAAAATTAAAAATATAAAAAATAAAAATAAAAATCTCCCTCCCATACTGGAAGTCATTATTCCCGAAAATCTTGATTACTGGACAATGCATAGTACTTTGCCTTGTTCACCTATTGTGGCCCCTTCTTTAACCTTAAGTGAACACATTGGAATAAAGGCAGCAGGCAAATTTCCCCACTGCTTCAATTCTCCGGTATCAAGGAGTGAGCATGCCCATAGTATTTGAACAATATGGCAACAAAAGGGAGTTCAATTAGTTCAGATAACTAATGAATTATCCAAATACTGTTATGAACTTAGGTGTTCATGCATATGGTGCTTGGAAATGCATATTTGATATTATGTCATTTGTTATCATTCGTTTTATTCTTGAGAATTTTTTCTGTCGTATGACCAAACTGGTCCATTCATACCAAAAGGGGTATCGATGTTGGTTTCTATAATTCTTACATTCAATACTTGATGGCTGGTTTCTGTTGCTGTGACATTGTTCATCATGGCTGAGATAATTAAACACAGAAGCTCCACCACCAGTTCCAATTCCAGACCTTGAAAAATCATCCATATTATGACAATTTTAATTTTATGCATTTCAAATGGAGACTTTCAAATCCCGTTTAAATTTGTAAAGAATTGTTTCGCATCTGAAATAGCCTGGTGAAACAAAAAACATACAGTGGACGTCTAGACCTTCTCAAACTTTCAAAAGAAAATTAGAAGTTCGACGATGGAGTTAAGATAAGTTGATATCGAGAGACACAGGTGAATTTACGTTGGTTTGTTTAATTATAGTTTATCTCTACTTAAAAAAAAATTCTAGATCAACCCGTAACATTGATTAGATGGCTAATGACAACCACCCCTCAAAGTGGGTTCCTTCTGATTCAGTTTTCCCAAAATATAAAGTAACTTAAAGTGCTATTCATTAAACAATTTATTCATATGGTCTTCTTATGGTTTTCTCTATCCTGCAGATTCTTGAGTGGACGATAAAGTTGCATTTATCTCCTTAAAATTTGAATTTATTGTTTTATTTAGCACTTTGTTTAGACTTTTTTTCCCCCAGAATCTTTAAATTGCCATATATTATGTTCTTCAAATGCATAATTTTTATCATTTCTCTTGCCATACCACATTTTTGCTTTAAATGTTCCTTTTAATTGCATTATAAAGGATTGAGTCTACTTGCTTGCCACATTCATATGAGAACTACGTCCTGCGACTTCTTACTCATAATTTTCCTCCTTTTTCGTGTTTATTTTTTCCCTCTTCAGGATAGGACTCCTGGAGAACCTTTTATTGCCAAGTCCTCCAAAGAGGCTGAAATGGATAAACTATTAAAATCCATGGAGGTACTTGTGCATGTTTATAAATATAGATTGTTTGTTGGCTTCTTGTTCAGACTTCTATACTAACTCTTAACCCCCACGCCCACCACTTGGATTCAGGGTATGCCAGGAGCACCCAGCATGAAAATGTACTCGAGGGAAGACTTGATGAACATGAAAAATATGGGTGATGAAGATGCAGAAGACGAAGATGAAGACGAGGAACCTGACTTTCCTTCAAAATTGGTACTAACAAGAACTTCATATCTTAATTCGTTAGTTCAAATTATGCAAAATGCTAAGCTGCTATCAAAACATTGGTACAGGGGAAAGTCTTGAGAGAAAAGGATAGTAAGAATTATGATTGGAAGCAAAGGATCACCAAAGGAGTCTTAGATGCAGGAGAGAAACTGAAAAATCATGCAAACAGAGTTTCAAATCGGATAAGACAGTGGTGGAGAGGCAAGAAAACAATCTTGAAGAACAAGAGTTCGAAGTCCAATAAAGCCGAGCTCTAGGCCCAAGATTCTTGTAAGCAAACAGAAGTTCCTTCTCTTCTTCATTTTCACTCAATTTTTCCTTTGTATACTTTTTGTATTTCCAAGCATAATCGTATCACCCAAATGTCATTAATTTTGGTATTTGTCAATTGAAAAAATAAAATAAAATCAAGATCTTGGGTTTTTCTGCCTGGCTTTTGATCTAGACGTGGTTGCTTGTCCCGCCAATATTTATGACTTCAAAATTTGCTGCTTTAGACATCAATGTAGCTGTCACCAGCGTCATTTGATTAGATTTTTCATGCTCAAATACTTGTGTTAATAGAGATTTCAAGAAGCAGATACATTTATGTTTCGACTGGCACAGCATTGACTTTGGTCTAGGAAAATCAATTTTCAAATTGACGTGCTAGTGAGATATTTGTTGAAGACTAGTCAAATGAACAAATATATTTCTCTATTAGCTTAACTTTAGATAAGGCAGTTGAACACAAATCGTTTTCCAATTTTTATGACTTCTGAACGAAGACTTGTGAAATATTAGAGTTACTCGTGTCCAACATTGTGTAAGAGAGAGATCCATTTGTGATGTTTTAGAAGTTCCAACTCAATTTGCAGTAACAAAGTGCAAATATATAGAACTGTACTTTTAGCTGAAAAAATGATAGTTAGATAATAATATTTTTGGGCCTGTTACAATATTCAAGACTCCTAATCCACCTTAATACAAATCTTGCGCGCTTACGCAACTTTAACTCGATGATGCAACTTGCTGCGCTTTTGGATTACTCAAATGACCTTAATATGAACCTTGCGCTTACGCAACTTTAACTTGATGATGCAACCTTTGAATTACACAAAAGGCTGCATTAAGACACTAAGGGTCCCTTTGATTGCAAATTTAAAAAATAGGTGGAAAGAAAATGTTTTATAGGGAATTGAATTGTCTAGAAATTTGTTTTATTGAGAATTGTAATTAAATATGTTTGATTGATATAATTTTTCACCTGAAAAATGTTGAAAGTTTGGTTCCGTTTGACTTCGTTTTTCATGGAAATTGTTCATTAAAGTGATATTTTTTCTACCATTGGGTTTAAAATTTGTTCCAATTGCAAATAAAAAAAAATTGGAAAAAAAAATTACCATACAGACTACCATTCGTTTGGCTTTGTTTTGCATGAAAATTGTCAATAAAAGTGATAAATTTTTTTACTATTGTGTTTAGAATTTTTTCCAATTGAAAAAAAAAAACTTGGAAAATCAAAACCAACCAAAACAAAAATAATACATTTTCCTCAAAAAGCTGGAAAATAAGGAAATGTGGAAAAAAATTTCCGGGGAAAATTTTGCTATCAAATAGGTGCAAAAGTTGGAACATGAAAAAAAAATTCCATTTTCCATGGAATATCATGTCTATCAAACAAGGCCTAATTGTTTCTGAAATTGGGAAGATGACATTTTGTATCATTTACCTACTCTAATTTTTAACCACACATTTTTCAATAAAATAATATTACACGTGAATTCAAAATTTTTTCTTATTTTTTAACTACATATTTTCCATTAAAACACTATTTAAAATACATTCTTGGAAGAATAATGTGGCTCAAACAGGGTGTTGAGAAGACTAAGAATGGCATATTAACTAAGCAATATACATCATGGTTGTTAAAATGGCAATTCGAATTGTGAAATCGTATAGTCCTACAAGCAATAGAACATGTGAGTACCTTAGAAGTTTGGAAGGATTATGCTCAACTATTAGTTTGAGATTTAATTGGTTATCAGTACTTGATCTTTTATTCGACCTAGAATCGCTAACCATGCTCATAATTGCGACCATTCACTTAAAAGTCAACAACGACAACAAACTTTAGCGAACTTAGTGCATTGTTGTCCATCCGTAGTATGGTTTCTAGTGTTGTCAATGGGCCGAGCCGAGCCGGCTCGGCCCTTTAAGCCACGAGCTCGGCTCGGGCTCGTGGAGAAACGAGCCACGAGCTCACGAGCCGAGCCGCTCGTGGCT